GTAGCCGTTTTGGCGAGTCTTTGGCAAAATTTGATGCACACTCTTTGTTCATGAAAATCCGCCATTCCGAAATCGCAGGAGGGTCGGTGTAATGCACTACCAAAACGCCCGTAACTAAGAAACAAATGCTAATTCAATGATGCCAGCTGGCACACTGATTCACTATGAATGTAGGCCGCATCCCCTAGCGGCAGAAGCTCGTACTACATCCAGTTCGCCCTCTATTGACACAGTCTTTAAACTTTCCGATCGCACCTTGTATTCTGTTTAACCATTTTGCTGTGATGTTCATGTGTTTATTTTATGGTTACCACAAATCATTCTCAGCACAGTCATTCATTTACTTGTAAAGGTTTCACTATTCAGTTAATTTAGATGGAAACTTTTAACTTATACTCATTTACCTGACTTTCTTTAGGAGAAAATGTTTTAGATCCACTTGCATTAATGCTGGTAGTATTGCAATTAGGAAAATGTAGTGTTTGTTCAGCAAATATTATTACAATTAATACTATTAATTTGTTACATATACACACTTAGTTGTTTATGCACTTTACACATTTTCAGATAAAATTTAGTATTTACTGTTAACAAAAGTAAATGTGGCCAGTTAAAAACAGTGTTCATAGTATTATTTTATTGTGAAATTGTTTGTTTCTTATGTACTTACTGACACTTATTACTGCAAACGTTATACAATGAACAGGAAGATTTTAAGTAGGAATTAGTTTCCAATAGAAGTCAACATAATGCACAAAATAAAAGCTGGAATAACAGTTTCCACTGACCTCATTTGGGCCATTGCACATAGGTATCCCAAAGTAAGTTTGTCTTAATGAATACTGTAAAATACACAAGACTTTTGAGTACAGAAGTTTTGACTCTACTGCACTGCTGCATTTCATTAAAGGTACAATTACTGACAACAGTTCTTAAATCTACAGTCCCAGATTTCCACTGAATTCAAAACAAATTCATTATTATATAGCATGTTGTTGTTGTTATAACATAATCGCCGCCACCACCACTTCTGTTACTGAACTGAATTGAATTATTGTTAGTGCAAGTGCAGATATTTTACATAGCCCCTTCTAACATTTCTGCTTTAAAACCCTTTTTTTATCGTACAGGTAATCTATTTCTTAAGAACTAAATCATTACTCACTGGCTGAATTCCATTTACACAGTGCTCAATCTTGCGTAACAAAGCCATTATTCGCTTCTGCAAAGCTGCACGGCCTGGAAGAAATGATCACCAACATACCCTGCTTCAAACTCTCTTATAAATCAAAACAGTACTTGTTACAACCATAAAATGATTTAAAAGAGTGTTGGTATTTCTTAACAATGAAATAATAATGAAGTCTATAGTATAATTTACAACAGAATAGCTAATACGAGGCGCGTCCACAAAGTAAGTTTCCCACTCGTCCCACAGCTAGCAAACCTTATATTGCGCGAAGCGACTGTGCGTACGTGATAGAGCAATGACGTAGCATGGCGCATGCACTAACGG